CATTCATCGTTCCACTCAGAATCTAAAATGAGCAAGGTATTAGGAAGTCTTAACCAGTGGTATTCAACCGGTGGGTCGCTACCCAATCTTGGGTCGCGTAATCTATAAAAATGTGACGTGACAGGTCATTTTTGTTAAAAAAAAAATAAGTTTATAATACCTATAAAATTTATTATAAATTATGAATATACGAATAAGTTAAAAACGCATTGAAGAACCATATTTTACAGTAGATAATATAATGACAGTTAAAGTGTCTACTGACATAGAAAATCAATAAATTGAGCTTAATTGTGATCCCAAACTTAAACAAATGTTTATTGAAACTTTTTTGGAAATATGTTTTGGGCACACTTATGCATGGAAAATTACGCAAGACTAGCAGCTAAAGTCTTTTTTTCTTTCATGGACTACAAAATTGACACGAGTCTTGAAAATATTGTTACAAAAACAGTGTATCGCAAGTCAAAAAGGTTGAACACTATAACTAGTGAAAACCATAGAAAAGATGAACAATATTTTTATATTAAAAAATGTAAAATTCATTAGGTATGTCGTATGTATAATCCCACCAAAAACATATATGTAAAATGAGAGCCAAGTTCAATACTATAATATATGCCTTGGTTGTTGACTTCAACGACAAAAGAAGTGAGATCTAAATAGGTGCCAAGTTAGGATAATATATTGAAGCCTAAGGTGTGACTTGGCTACTTTTCATATACGAATTATTATTATAAGTACCTACTAAAACAGTAATGGAAGAGTGAAGATGATTTTCCGAAGAATAAAATAAGAACTCAAAGCTTTAGAACTTGCAAAATATGCTATAATATATAATTCGTAGCCAAGTCAGACCTTAGGCTTCAATATATTATCCTAACTTGGCACCTATTTAGATCTCACTTCTTTTGTCGTTGAAGTCAACAACCAAGGCATATATTATAGTATTGAACTTGGCTCTCATTTTACATATATGTTTTTGGTGGGATATCATTACTTTTTGTATGTAAATTATTATAACCTAACCTAGCCTAGCCATGACGTATTCTATAAATAAAGTTTATTATTTACTATATAATATAATTCAGTTACTAATATTAATAATAATATTTATTATAAAATATTTTCCGTTGTATATACAGAGTATAAAATATATGTAAAATTAATATACAATTATTTTAACTCTTTTTGAGTATATTTTTAATTATCATAATTTTATTGACTGTAGTTTCTACTGTTGGGTGGATAATTCATAATTTGTAAGAATAATTATTTAATTATTTAAATTGTAATATTTAAAAAAAATAATATTAATTAGTAATTACATACATAGATAGAAAAAAAAGTTTGTTGCTGCGCGCGGGTCGACAATATCGACACATATTCGGCTAGTCGTATTTTTGGAGCGGCGATACGGGAAAGGTTATTTAAGTCAACATTACATTAAATTAGAGACAATTCATTAATAAATTGAAAAATTAAACATAATAGATAAAATAATTGCAAAATTATAATAAAATCAATTGATTAAAAAATTAAAAATTAAAAATTAAAAAATTTTAAATTAAAAATTTTCAAGTTTCTGATTTTTTCCTTTGTATTTACCTAACTACCTATCTGTATGCCAAATTTGAACTTTCTAGGTCATCTGGAACTGGGTTAGAATTTTGATCTATAGGTAAGTCAGTGATAAAAATGACGATTTTCGGACGTTAATATCTAAATAACGGTTTGAAGTGTGTTTATGAAATTTAGAGCACATATGTATCCCGTTAGTCTCAATATATGAGCCAAATTTGACATGTTTATGTGGAATAGTTTTTGAGTTATGAGGGGGTCAAAAGTGGCTCCAAATGGTTCGTGTAATATTACACACGGTGCTGCTCGCCAGTTCTGTTAGCTAGAACTTGGCTTGACACGCTACCGCGTGTCTAGATATCAATTTGACATTTAGATCCACTCTGAATGTTAATAAAAATTATTTTGGGCATTAGTTTGTTCCGTAGTCCCCCCTTCCAAGTAAAAAAAATTAGTAGAGGACTTCCGTCCTCCTGCGCACCCCCTCCCCCCTACACCACCATTTCGAGAACTGGGTAGGTATCGTAATACTATCTATATTCTATGGTAATAGGTAAGTCCACAGCGTATCCTGTCATATGCGGTGATGACGACGGGCGGCGGCACGATCAAGTGTAGCTTATAAATAAGTAATGGCTATATTAATTATTCAATATGTCATTATGTCTATCGACTTCTGACTATCGGAAAATTTTATTTTTGTCACAATTCATTTGTTACGACAGTCACCCGGTGTCGGCCGATAACGAAAAACGTGAGTGCTTCAATGGAGTGGGGGGAATCAGCGTTTTGCCGTTTTGCGCCATTAGAGAATAATTCGATAATTATTTTACAATAATTTCACATGTTAAAAATTGTTTTGTGCTTAACAAATTTACTCCCTCAATATTAACATAAGAATTACCAACATTTTACATCCCTATAAGGAAGAACTTTATCTGTGGTATAGCGTCATTTGATAGCACTGCCAAATAAGTTTTAATAATTAATTGAAAAACACAAAATAACGTAATGTTCTCAAACCGATAACTTTAATGGTATATTTATGTTATCCAAATAATAAAAGCACTGCGACATAGATAAATTAATTCTTCTCTATGTGTTTTAAAATTATGTTTATTCTATTATAAATATGATGCGAGAAAAGTGGTCCCACGCGAAACAATTTTTTACAACCAAATTACGAGTGGTGTGGCGTCCTCTTAAAGAGAAAAATATCAAAGTAATATAATACCAAATACACACAAGTCACACACACTTACAGTGTAGGTCAACATCTTTCTGTAATAGAGACTTAAATAACTGTAATTTAATTACCTAAGTATTTATGACGGAACAACTAGGGTTTGACCATTCAATCGATTAAAAAAATGTCCATATAAATTAACTTATAACAATTATTATTAAAAATTGTAATATGGCTTTAATCATTGATTCAGAATAAATAACTGACTCACTTTATTCATATTCTAATGGGTAATAAGCTATGATCAAAATTGATGTGAAATGGTTATTATAATAAACTAGCTGATCCCGTGCACTTCGTTTCCCGTTAAATGTACCAACTCTATATGACTCAAACATTGTTCAATGCGTTATTTAATATTCGGTGTATGGTGTTCTAGATTTATCTTAACTTTTCTGTTGCCCGGAATAAAAATTCTGAATTGCAGCAGTACATTATCAGATAGGTAATTTACCTGCGGTAGATCGCGGACCCCGTGCTGTTTGTACGTAAGTGTATGATTTAACTCAAAAAGTACCAAAGTTATACCATGTTTGACGTTTTTACTTAATATCACCTACCTATAAATCCTAACCTAACCTAACCGTACTAAAATCCGATGAATAAAAAAACCAAATTTAACCCTTTTTAAATTAGCGTATCTTCTTCCCATAGGTCATTCATTTATATATGATATATTTACAAAATATAATAATACAAATCAACAAACATGCCCGATTAACCAATAGCAACCAATATAATATAACCATAGAGTAAATAAAGACAACGGTATCGAGTTCAAATCCCAGACATCAATAAATAGTTTTTGCAGTTTTTCTAATTATTCGGTTGACTTTTTAAAAATTTTCTTTCGTAAAACCCTTCACCTGGCAATTACGAACATCTTAAAAAAAATTTGAGCAAAATCGACCCAGCCGTTCTCAACTGATGCAATTTCGAATTTTTTGTCTCCATTTTTATATATATAGAGATGATAATATTATGTTAAATGCAATTAATAAAACATAGGCCGAATTTCAAAAATGTAAACCTATCTACTTAATAGTTAATAGTTATAAATCAAATAATTATAATTAATTTCTTCCTCATTATCAAAAGCGTAACTAGGAGGTAGCTGGGGTGACTATAATTCTTAATTTGTTTTTATTTAAATTAAATAATTATTTTATACTGCCTATGATAATTAATATGATAAATATCATTAGCTGTATGCCTGTATTTGGTTTTAAGAAAACAATTTTTGTCAGTATATTGGTACTATTATTATTTATTATAGATAATTTTACAGTATATTATGTACTGAACTATTATATACAAACAGTGTATTATAATTGTGAAAAATTTAACTTTATTAAATAACAATTAGTTTTTTTTTGTATAATTTTTGACCAAGTGAAAACTACAAAACCTAAATTAGATTTTATACATATTTAAAAACAAATACAATTAAATTTAAACACCGAAATTTCTTTAAACATTTGAACTTGCTCACTGGTTTTAAATTCCAGTAAATTGATTTAACGATCAAATGTATAGATAGTTAAAAAAGTAGAAACTTTTAAGCAAAAAGATATGCTAGACAAATGCCCAAACCAATCATCCAGTTTTTGTCCGAGGTTTTTTCTTCTTGTATTTTTTTAGAAATACTTTCTTATATATAATATATAATATATAATATTTAATATATATATATATACCTATATATTATCTTATATTATATATATTATTTTTATCATAGGCAACTTCTAACCATATTTTAGTAGTCTGAAGACCACAATTTCAAAAAATGAAAACATTTTGTGGGATACATTATATTGCTACTAATCAAATATATTTCAAAATTAGTGTATATTTGTCTTTTATATATTAAATTAATACTAATTATTAAATATAATATAGTATGACAATTTGTTAGGAAACATGTTATTATTGAACAGCTAATGAAGATAAGAATAAGAATTGTAATTGGTGTAGCAATACCAGTCATGATCGATTAAACGTATACATTTAGGTACTGGATTTAAAATTAAAATGTTACTTGATATAATTTTATTTAAGTAATCACAATAATAAAATAAACAAATAAATTAAATTAAATTAAAAAAACATATAAACAATAAAATACCAAAAAAGAAAATGAAAAATAACCTTAGCATTTTAAGTACATATTATGTTACAAGTCTGATTTTCCAGTTATGACCATGTAAGGAACATAATCTATAGCCATAAGACACGCAAAGAGTGTCATTACCATTTTTGGTTTTACTTCAGTAATATCTTCTGGTAAAGTATACACTCTAGCACCCGTCTTTCTGGACATTGATATTGCATACTTAGCATTAGCTAAATTATCCTAAAAAAATAATTCAATTTAGTTACAAACCAAATATTCAAATATTCAAATTTTTGAAAATTATTTTTATTAATAATATTACCTCAGCATCACCACCCTCTTTAACTAAATCATAGTTAATGGTGCCTGGTTTTATTGCATCAATTAAATCAATGACAATTCGCCCATCGGCTAATGCATGATCTTGGAATCCTCTTAAAGTTGAAGATTTATTGGCATTTCGTAACTTGTTGTTAACCCAGGTAACAATTTCTTTTTCGTTCATCGGCCTTCCAGTTGTAGCAAGTTGAGTTAAGACTGATAAAGTATATGCACTCATTAGTTGCCAAATTAAAGCTATAATAAAAAACATACAAAATTGTTTATTGATTAGCTTATAGTTTTGCTCCATATTTAATAGTTAAGTAAAACTGAAATCAAATACAGTGAACAATTTTTTTTATTAATAAAATCGATCTCGGCAGATATACATTACCGTTACCCTTGAAAATAATATACAGATAAGACATATAGTGTTGTTAATACTGGAAACGGTCAAATGCTATTAGCCGTTTCCAATATTAACGACATAATGGCTTATCTGTGTATTATAATATCAATGACATTACCTTAAACAATTGAAATTATGGAATCTCAAAATATTAAATATGTCATAATGTTAATAACTTTGACCTATTTCTATTTTTTACTGTACCAACAATTATTTATTTATTTTGCTCACCTAATGTAAGTGTTGCATTTCCATCATTTAAATCTTGTCCAGCAATACCAACTAACGAAAACTTTAATTGACGACCCAACTCAATAGCATAGTTGCAATTTTCCAATTTTTCCATAAATTGTCGCAGTTTAGAAAATTGTCTACATTATAAACATATTGATGTTTGAATTACTTATACTATATCATAATCGTACAAAAACAAAGGATGTCATTACACAATTTGTTTTCTCTCTGACATTTCACATCAAATTAGCATTCAGCAGAACGAAATTACTGAGAACTGTACGTATCGTTAGCTTTAATATTAAGATTAAATTTAATCTATAATCAAAACTTAAGTTTATAACATCATTTGTATTTGTATATTGGTATTATTAAGATATTTAACATTTTAAGAGATAGATTAGCACTTTTTGATTGTAATATTTTACAGTTTTACACTCATAACTTGCATCAAAATTGAAATTTTATAAAAAAAAGCCAATAAACACAAATAATGTTCTTAACTTTGAGTTGGATAATAGGTCAATTAACTCTAAAATAACAAGAATGGTTTTGTTCAATGCAAATTTGCAATGTTATACATGATTCACATAGAGTTAACTTATTGTGAGCTAATATCCTTTTATGTGAATTTGAAATGTATAACAATTTATTGATTTAATTTTAATATTTCAAGCGAAGTTCAAATTATCATTTCTTTACCTGTTTACTTTGGACCAATTAACAATTCCTGGTTTAATAATATCATACAATTGAAAAATTATGAGACCATCTGCCAAATCTGAATAAAGCCAATTAACATGAGGTGCAACACCCAAAGAATTCATCCAATTTCTGTACGCTATAATAAAAATTAGAGAATTCATTACATAATACGAAAATTAAATAAAAAGACTAATCAACAGTATACCGGGTGATTATTTTATCATTATACACGTTATACTCATAATTTCGAAAAGAATAAAAGTTTAAAAAAAAAACACTTTATTTTTAGTCTCTAAAAACAATATTTTTAAGAAATACCATATAGTTTTTTAAATACCTATTTTTATCCTTAACATTTTTGAATGACAACGTACAGTTTTAATTTCACATTCCAAAGCAGAATATTTTTCTTAAGTATTTAGATACATGAAAATCAAAATTATGAAGTGTAGCTTTTGAGTTATTAGCATTGAATGTTTAGATGAGCGGAGTGGTATGGTAGGCGAGGACCCTGCAAAATGTTGGTCCACTACTAAATTCCTTTAAACTTTAACTACTTAAAACTCATAAAGTATCAAAATACTGGGAAAAATATTCTGCTTTTGAAGATGAAATTAAAACTGTGTGTTGTAATTCAAAAAAGTAAAAAACTTAGAAAAATTTTAAGGATAAAAATATAATTTTTTAATAAACCCGTTATTTTGTACCCCTTTTAACTGTGTAAATATAATACTTTTTGAATAATAATTGTCCTATGTTAAATAAATCACCTAGTATATAAACCTGAGTTTCAAATATAAATCTTATTAAAAAAATAAAAACTAACTTTTTTCTTCTCTTGTTTCTTCGATTGATTCTAATCCTGCAATTTCTATTTTGGGCTTGTCTAATCCTGGATGATTGTTAAACAAATTAGCAACAAATGCAAGATTTAATTTGTATACACCATTCACGACATCAATGGGTGTAACAAAACTTCGACAACCTAACTTAGCTGCTTGCTGCAACATTATATCTGCTCTTTTGTTCAGATCCGGTTCCTTTATAGACAATAAATGTAATTTAATTATCCAAAGATTTATATGCTCAATGAAAAAGTTGGTTAATTTATCAAAATTAAAACATAGTTAATAACTAGAGGCCTTACTTTTAGTGAATACAAACATAAGTGTACAAGGATATCGTGAATAAAATTATATAGTTTGTGAATTAATAAATGCTAAGACACTATCGGAATTATATTCAAGTGAATTCGTTATTCGTAAGAATAACTTTAAAATTGGTATCAACTGAACATTTATATTATTTATAAAAAAAAATTTATTAATTTTACTAAAAGAAATAATTGTTAACTAATGATTTTTAGAAGGTGGTTAGATATTACATTACTTAACCTAAGTAGTTATGTTTTAAGTTATTGATTATTAAATCAATCTAAATTAATAATATGAGTAAAATCATCTTTGACCTACGAATAAAAATAAAAAAATAAGTAAGTAATGACGTAAATAATATTATAAATTCACGGAACATTTTAAGTAACAGGTCTTATGAATTAAACATTAATTTCAAGTCAAAACGTGAAACCAAGTATACATGAAATAAGGAGCCCTATTAAAAACATCCTTATAAACTATCAATTACTAAAATCAATAAGAAATATTCCAATTAAAATAATATTTGATTAGTTAAAGGTCAAAGCTAAAATAATAAAATACAACATTATAGTATTCAATTTTAATTATTTTAAATATTGATGAATAAAAGAATATTATGTTTCTTACACTCATTTACTTTTATTTATTCCTAGAACCTCAAGAAACAAAAATGTAAAAGTTATTCATAAATAGTAATTACCATTAAAGCAAACATATCAACATCAGAATCAAGTGGTGCAATTTGCTTCATAAGGTATGTGTATATTTCTGAATCAGTTATATCATTTTGGAAATTATAGCATTGTCTGAAATTAGCAAAATATTTTACAATAATTATCTTTACTTAACAAAACTAAATATTATTTTATACCTTGAAACTCCAGCACGATTCAAATGGTAATTAACCCATCCAAGAAGTATAGCTTCTGGTGACAGTTTTATAAACTCTTCAATTTTTTCTCCATCTTGTAACAATGTAGCTAACCCAGGACAGTTTTCAAGAGTAATTTGATTAAACAATCCTATCTAAATAATTTTAAAAAAATTATAAAATAAAATTAGGTTTTTTAATTGTTTTACTGCCAAAAATATATTTACCCTAATAATTTGCCAGAGTAAACCAAGGACTAAATGTGGTTTTCCTTTAGAAAGATCATGAGCATCAATATTCACAACATTACAACCAATAGATTGACTGGAAACTAGTGCTAGTGTTAAATTTTCTAATTTTTTGTAAACAGTAAGATTGCTTTTATTTGTTTTTTTATTAATTGCCCTTTCGTCAATTGTACCAGGACAAGAATGATTAATAACTTTGCTAAAAAAAAGATTTTAAACAATTATGATATATGTATAATTATATAAATAATATAATAATTGTTGGTTTTAAGTCTAAAATCTGTTTACCAGAGCAATATTCCGTCTATGACCTTTTCATACAAATGTTTCCCTTTACATTCTATTGGAAGTAAATGATTTAGGTCAGGATCATTACTCAAGTTTCTATTGATCCAATCAGAAAATGCAAGCTGTTCTTCTAAACGTACAGAATGTGTTGTTCCGTCACTTGATGCATCAGACATACCACCTAAAGTTTCTAAGTTTTCTTTTTTAGAAACAACTTGTTTAAATGAGCTAGCAATTTCTCCTGCTTTTAGGTCTGAACATAGCTGAAAAGTATATTAATGTTAAATGTTTATAAATTTGAATTTGTTCAGTTGTTAGATAAGTATGTAAAATATTAAACCTTTTTAAATTCTGAAATTACAAGCTTTCCTTTTGTTTCAGTTCTTTTACCATCATAATCTTCAATTATTTTTCGAACTCTCCATGCAGGTAACTTAAAACCACATAAATATAGAGCCTGTTGTAGTTCTGAAAGATCAATAGCTCCATCTCCATTTTTATCAATCTAAAAAAAAATATAAAAAATAAATTGTTTTATTCAATACAACCTGATTTTTTATGTAATTATAAAATTTAACATATTTGAAAATAGTAGAGAAGTAATTAGACATTAAAAAAATTTTAACATATTTTATGTAGGTAATTGAAAAGTTTTGTATGGAATCTTAAATGTAATAGGTAATATCTTTTTTTAACAATTGCATTATGGAATATAGAACCTAGTTAGTAAATCCAAAATATGGCATATCCTAATATAAAAGTTGTACCTAATATCTTAGTTGTTGGTAGGTAATATGGCAAATGTTTTATAAATATATATTTTTATAAAATCTACAATTTGAAAATAATTTTGTAAATAAAAATTAATAAAATGTTCAAATTTTATAACAAAAATAATTTATACCTATATCTCAAAATGAATATACAGTCATGAAGTTAATAACTTTTACTCTGCAAAGAAAACATGCAAGGTCTATTGATGTTAATAAATATGATTAAATTTTAAATTATTTAGTATTTTATTTCTTAAATTGAGTTAAATCTATAAAAATTAAGTCAGTATTTATTATTTACCTACTCTTAAATACAGATGTAGAGATGCTGTGATTTTAGGATTCAGCTGGTTATGTGGGTTACACCACTACACTAGTTATGGGTAAATGAGTACAAATTACTGACTGTTCAACATATAATTTACCTGTATACATATTATGCCTTTTAAATTTTAAAATAACCAGGCAATTGTTTGGACAATTAATGTCTATTATGATCGAGGGGATTATACCAGTTGGTCTCTTTCTTATATATCAAGGCTCTCTAATTCTAATAGATTCTAATGATTCTATTAGTGATTAAGCTGAAATTGACATATTATTATTAAATTTAAAGGTTAGAATTTTACAACAATTTACATCTAAAATATAATTTGTTTTAAAATTAAAATATCGAAAATAAACCTATTGTGGGGCACTGGGCTTTAACCTTTAAATTTGATTAAAGGTCCAATACCCTCTAATATTAAAAATAACAGTAAAACGGATTCATCTAAATGTAAAATTTGGTATATTAGGTATGTGTTAGTAAGATGAAAATAACACATATGGGGATAATGTCATCTTAAAAGTTGCTTAACAATTAAATAATGTAACAAATGTTGTCTGTGGTCCAAAGGAAACATAGCAAATTTGTATTCAGCATAAACAATCCTTCCTGGGTGCATTTTATTTTGAGTTTTTATTTTATTATTTTATAATTTTATGTTATATGAATCAAAAGTTGTACTTGTAAGTTGTAATCCATTGTTTTAGAGCACCTACAAAAATTGCATTTTGAATTGAAATTGGAGGCCTAGCCATAACTCATTTTTATACATAAATATTTTATATATTTTATCTGATAAATTCATTAGTTCCATATAGTATTAGATAGTACATTTATTGGGACTGTTGAAATTATAATGAAATATTATAAAAAATTATAATTAATATTATAATTATATAACAATTAAAATAAGTAATAACAATATAATAATATAATATTATATATTTATATTATATTATTATTGTTGTAGGTAGGTAATACCTATAATGGGCTATAATAATAATATGAACACAATGAATAACCATTGAAATGTTGAAATCCTAAGCCCCCACGGGGAAGACGTCGGCAGGACGAGTGACAAAGAAAATCTATCGCTTGGGTACCATATCGTTGGGAGAAAAGCCAGTAAGACACAACACAAATACCCCATATCTAATTTTAAATAAAATAATATAATTTACGACATTCGAGTAGGTATAGGTACAGGCAGCGTCGTCGTTTGTTAGTTACCTTGGAAAATTGTTCCTTGAGCTCGTCGTCGGCCACAGCGACTTTCGCGCTGCCGTTGAGTGCCTTGACGTAGTTTGAGACCTTCGACATTTTTCAAGACTAACAGATCACGCGCGGGCGGGTGGAAGGTGTCCAAACTGAGGTCGAAACTCGAAAGCGACTGATGATTTCTGTAACGACGATGACGGTCTGTAGTTCTGTACTCTGTAATGAGCAAGTGACGACGAGGTGGAAATGAGGCCTCCGTACTGCTGGTGACGATTGACGAGTGACGGCTCGACGGCGGTCGGAGTGTTCACTGTTCGACTGTGCGGTCCCGTGGTAAGTTGTCGTATATGGTATATTAATTACTTTACTAGGGGGCTTGTATTTATCTGGTGAGGCAGCACGATTACTGGGCGAGGAGGAGGGGCGGAGGAGTCGCCGCCGCTGTGTGGATACTGCGCATACGTCTTAAGGGGCCTAGGCATAGATTTAAGGAGAATCGTTTATGCAATTTCTAATCTCGTCGTCGGCACCTTTGATCTATGCGTTAGTCGTAAATGATTATTAGTGATTATTAATGATCATTAATAATATTTGTGTGTGGTGCTCATGCGGGTCAATTATTGTAGCTATACGGAGAGCTCTCGCACGCACTCGCACGCGCATGTCAAAATGTAATATTGTGATCATGAAAAAATGTTTATTTTTCACTCAAACATACGATTCTAATTCCAATAATACTTACCTCGATTTGCATTCTGACAAAATATTCTTTTTTTCTACAACATGTACGAGAGATCACATTTTTAAAATTGTATTTAGTTAATTAAATATTTAAGTTGGAAATTCTGATTTTTTTTTAATTTCTTAAAATTTTTATTGCAATTTTAACTACAAAAATTAAAAATGTGGCACGATCTTTCCTTTGTATATATTACGGGCAATCCGAATATTTTTCAGTAGTTTTTGATAAAAAAATACGTGGTAGTAAGGCCCCTTAAGCAATGCCGGATTAAGGATCAATTGGGCCCCGGGACACCATACACTTAGTGGGCCTCCTTTCAACTTTAACTTCAAAATAATTGTATCATTACATATTAACGACTTTATATTATTGTATAATTTTTTACTATACAAAAATAAAAAAATATAAAGGGTGTATCTTATGTCATTTCATGCTGTTTTTTTTAACAATTAGGTATGGATCGATGATATGGAATTTCGTTAAAACAAAAAAAGACAATCGTTTCTTTATTTTTAACAGGCAATTTATTTTATAACATTTTCAACATTTTTAAACACGCAGTTGTAAAAATAATAAAATCGACTTTATTTTTTAAAATGGTAACTACTATGTTTTTTTATGGATTCCGCTAAAGCTTTTTTTCTAAAAATTTTGACAGTCAAATGATCAATTTTGGTTAACTAGGTTATTAACTATGATCTTCTAAAGTATGCATTAGTGACGATCAAAATTGGTCTTGGTCTTGCGGTCTAGCAAGACTCTTGCTGCAAGACCAAGACCAAGATTAGGTTTGCAAGAACATGACAAGACCATCACTCTTGCGGTCTTGCAAATTTTTTTTTTTTTCCCAAAAATACATTACTGTATCTAGATTTCAGTAACTAATAATTTATAACGAAAATAAAAAGAATTTAAATGTATTGTTATGAAATTTGACCAGTGTTCGAGGAAATGGCGAATTATTGAAAAAAAGATTAGAAATATAATGGGAATTGATATTACAAAATAACATAGTTGTTCATACTAATTAACAATTACTGAAAAATTATTTTATTTTCCCAAAATCGATAAGTTTCATCTTAGAGATCATAACAAAAAACCTCCACACAGCTATAACAGGTATTTAGTTATTTTTTATATATTTTGTGAAAATAGCAAGAGTCTTGACCAAGACCAAGACCAATACTGAGTCTGCAGAATAAAGACCAAGCCCAAGATTTTGAAAGTCTTGGTCTTGGTCTTGTTTTGATCATCACTAGTATGCATTAATACTTTTAACTGAAATACCTAATTTACAAGAGCTAAATAATTTTTTCTTATAACTACCTTTTATATACTTAAATATTTAAATTGGTAATCTAAAACATTAAAAAAAAAAAAACAAACAAACAAACAAACAAACAAAATTATTGGCAAACATAGTTCTTTTTTTATAGTAATTTTTGGTGGTATAAAATTGAGAACATATTTATTTTATAATTATTAATAATAATTTACCTACTATACCTACCTACTTAAATAATTTTTTTTTTTTTTTTTGAAAACTGTATTGGACGCGTTAAAAAAATATATTTTGGTGATAAAGATGGGCCCCCAAAATCAATGGGCCTCCTTGGCCTCCCCTTTAATCCGGGCTTGCCCTTAAGTTCTCAACGTCGCGACTAAATTGACGATAAAGCGATGTTCGTGTTGAGATGGTTTGCCGTCTTTGTCTATCGCATGAGTGACACCTATAACATTATACGAAATTATTGTGTTAGGACGACGACGTGTTCTATTTCCAACACGCCGATGATCGATCGATCTATTAAGCGATAATGATTCTCAAAACACGTTTGGATATGTCGTGAAGCCAACCTACACGTCTTGAGGTCGACTAACCACGTTTTCGATTTTATAGTATCGCCTCGAGTTTACCAAAAAATTTCATATGACAAATTATAAAGTTACAATTTTTCCAATTCACTTTGGCGCTGTTTACAGAGATCGAAAACATGTGCGGCTATAATATGGCAACCCTATAATATGGCTATAATACGCATCGGCCTTTATTGTGACCACATCCCGTTTAGACCGGATTAATAGGATACCACACACGCCCTCCGGGTTTCTCTGTCTTACAGTACGCACTTATAATGCATGGACGGAAATGGAAATCTGGTACAATTATAGGTAGAGGGTTAAGTAGTATTTATAAGACGTATTTACACATGGGCAAAAAAAAATTGCTTTAAAATAACGGCAGTTACAATTTTACAATAAATAACATTATAAAAATACTGAAGTTTTTGAGGTTTTTAGTTTTTTTGGATGACAGTAGGTATACCTACATTTTTTATTGTAATCCCGAAGCAGAATATTTTTCTGTTAATTTCAGTGTAAATATAGAAAATGAGGAAGTCGCTTTGTTGTATAATAGTAGTTTTTAGTTACTCATTGTGCTCACGGTATGTACAATGGATGTGCTTAAATTGAATTAAATGATTCCAACCAGGAAACTGCGTGGCATCCTATATTTCTAAGTATATACATTAGTTGTTTATATGAGGTTCATTTAAAATGTAGAAATCTATTTTTAATAGATGTACTTATATCATTGTATTGAAATAATGTTCGCCTATAGCTGGTACCTATTATACAAAATCACATATTATATTACCTAATATTAATTATCAAAATATTCTATCATTATTATTGTTATTAACTTAACTTATAAGACCAACATTATATATATAGAATGGCGTAAATAAGATCGTGGTATACCTAAATGGTTAAAAATTTGTTAAAATATTTTGAAAGTTTCGTCGTTTATGGAAAATAATAATGTACATAAAAACGTAATGATGAAAAGTTTCAAATTCCTACAGGCTACAATATTAAGATTTTTTATAATTACAAAATAATAACTAAAATTGTTATTTTCGTTTACATATTATCAAATTTATAGGAGGGTCACTGGGTGGATTTTACCCTTAGGTCATTAAGCTAAACTCAAATAATAACAGTTAAACTTATTTAATGAAAATTGAATAAATCAATCTATGCATTTTCGATATGTTTAAATATACATATTATATATAAAGTATACCTACATATTTCATATTTGTATATAGATAGCTATTAAATTCGTAGAACGAAAATGTCATTTTTTTTTAATAATTATTAAGAACTTCTCAAGATTGTTAACAAAAATACGTTACCTGATATTTCTATTTACGAATAATAATAATAGTAATAGGTACAAAATCAGGGCCCTCAATTACCATAAATAAGCTGGGGCCCTGTCCGAAATTGCGGACTAGAGGTCCTGTCCAGTTCGATTCTGGGCCTAGAGTTTTTATATTATGATCGGACCGAGGAATATATTAGTTTTATTAAGTATGTAATTACGTCTATACAAGAGGATATTGGAAGGCATCGTAAGAATCTTGCAATGTTTAAAAAAATTAAAATTAGGCGAAGAAAAAGGATGTTTCTGAATGTGATTTATTTGATGAACCCGTGATTTGCAGAAATATTGTGGATGAATCAGAAACACCGTTGCAAGTACTAGGTACACTAAAAAAATGTAATGGAGCTTTTCCAAACCTAAGTGTGGCTATTAGAATTATGCTTACAATTCCCATTACTTCGGCGGGGGCCGAGCGAAGTTTCTCAAAACTTAAGCTCATTAAAAACTACCTCAGAAGTTCAATGTCACAAGACCGCTTAAGTGGTCTGGCAACTTAAGCTATTGAAAAGGAATAAGCCGAAAGTGTGAATTACGAAACCATTATAGTCATAGGCGTAGCAATGGGGGGGGGCGCAAAAATATTTAACAATAATAATAAAAAAAAACACTATAAAGTAAATGAAATACAAATAATTCTGGGGGGCTAATATTCAAACTGAGGAGTCTAAGCCCCCCAATCCCCCCCTAGATACGTCTATGATTATAGTACATATTTTTGCAGTAGAAAAATTAATTTTAAGTAGGTAACAATTTAATTTTATAAAACTGTGACGTTTATATAAAAAACAATTTTAAGTGAATAGTAAATAATTGTTTTATTTTATATATTAATTCGTCCAATTATATTATATAAAAAAACGAAATTTATATAATATTAGTTACATGGTTATAATATTATATGTAGGATATGGTGATGATATTTTGGTGCAAATTACAAACTCCACGCTACAAATACCTTAAAATTAGTCGAAATATTTTGAAAATATTATGTATAGAAAATGATAAGTTAAATAATAAAGTGGAATTTCTATAGTTGTAGTCAATACCTTTTAATACTGACAAAATGACTAAAATTGTTTGAGGAGAAATCGTTACTATACGTTTAAATTAGTCTTACGTACAATGATG